CAAAATGCAAACAGAAGTGTTTTGGCAAGTCATAAAGATGGTCAATTTCGTGGTGATAGTGAAGTTGCACTTAGTGGGCAGCTTGATCATCCTGGGCCTCCAGCTGGTAGCAATTTACATTCTGCTTCGGCATCTGATATTGAAGAGTCTCTTTTAGACTTGCAGAGATATGAGGATAGAGATCAATCTTTGAGGCATGATAAGTTTACAAGAGATGATGGTGGCAGAGTGGATGATCTTGGGGAACAACTGGATTCCTTGTTGCTCGAGGATGAGTCTGATGAAAAGAATGGGAAGAAGCAGTTTCGTAAGGTAACTCTTATTTACTTCTTACCTTCTTTATACATGTATTGTTTACTTAATTGCATTAATGTTATTAAGTAAGATTTTTTTTTTTCCTTGTTTATAAAATGATGTAGATTTTGGTTGAATCTGGGATTCACTTGCAGTTTCTGTTTTTAGGATTCCAGAGTAGATAACAGGGGCCAATGGCTTCTTAGCCAGAGGATGAGAAATTTAAAGTGGATGATGGAGTGTCGCAGTGACATTGATAGACTAAATGCATCTTTCCTTGAGATTTATGAGTCTTTAATACCACGTGAGGAAGAAAAAGTGAAGCAGAAACAATTATTGGCATTGCTAGAGAAACTAGTATGCAAAGAATGGCCTGAAGCTCGGTTATATCTCTATGGATCATGTGCTAACTCTTTTGGAGTCTCAAAGAGTGATATTGATGTTTGCCTTGTGATCAGTGATGCTGACTTGAATAAGTCAGAGGTTTTGTTAAAGTTGGCAGATATTTTGCAGTCAGATAATCTTCAAAATGTGCAGGTAAATAAAGATTCTCCTGAATTTTGATAGTCTAATAAGTTTCTGGTTAGTTGAGCAAAATGGTATCTATGAACGTAAAGGTGACAGAGCATTTATGTTTTGCCAAATTTAAAATAATAATGCAGTTATTAAGATTACTGATTTCTAAATTTGAAAAATTAAAAATTGATTACATATACATCATTAATCTGTATAGCTTCCTTATACAAGTTATTTGTGTATTATGCTCAGGCTATAATACTTATAATGCCCTCTAAAATAGATGATAAGGATTTGGAACTAACTGCTTGACTTGTATACCAGGCATTGACACGTGCCAGGGTCCCCATTGTAAAGCTTAAGGATCCTGCGACTGGAATTTCTTGTGACATTTGCATAAACAATGTTTTGGCAGTTGTTAATACAAAGCTTCTCCGGGATTATGCTGAAATAGATGAGAGATTAAGACAGTTGGCTTTTATTGTGAAACATTGGGCCAAATCAAGAGGGGTCAATGAAACTTACCAAGGAACACTATCTAGCTATGCGTGAGTTGTATATCTTTTACCATTCTTGGAAATGAAATCTTTAGGAAATATGCTCATGTTGTTTGTTATTTCATCATTTGGCCTGCCTGTGATATGAATAAGCACAAGCTAAGGCTTCTAAAAAAAAAAAATGAAAAGGTGCAAGCTGCTGATTTAGGTAGAATCTATGCACCTTGTAAAAGCTGGGCACCCTTTCATCCTGACGTTTTTCTGAAATCTTGGCTCAAAAGATCACCACATTCCAACTCACTGATTCAGTTTGCTTTCATCTTTATTTCCATTAGCTGATTCATATTCTCTTTGCAGGTATGTTTTAATGTGCATTCATTTCTTGCAGCAGCGAAGACCTGCTATCCTTCCATGCTTGCAGGTATTTATCTTTTTGTCTTTCATTTCAGCTGTCAAATCTTTTTTTGCTTCTTTATACATGGTGTTGTCACTTCTGCAGTATCGGTGGCTTTATTGGTATGTTTTCTGGTTCTCAGAATTTATGCTAATTTTAGGACAAGGGAATTTGTGCTAGTTTTACTTCAACATGGTCCTATATTTGCTACCTTACTTTAGTTTCAAGAAATTTATCTACTATCCTCCACTGTTTCTGCTTAGTAATGGTGACAGACGAACTATTTGTTTCTTTTTTCTATTTTTGAGTATTTGAATATCCATTAAAGTGGTGTCTATAGCTGTGGCTCTCATTTGTTCATTAAGGTACTACTACAGTCTTCATGTTATTAAGCAGTCCCTCCCTTGTTCACAGTTTAAGGATGAAGTCAATAATATGACAAAATGAACAATAAAACCTGTCTCATATCTCATCATGATAAACCTTTAGCCACTATGAGCTCAGGTTTTTCATGGGTGAGGTGTTGAATTCATGCACTTAATTGCTAGGTCTTTTTGGTTTGATCCATACACCATAGGTCCATATATATACTTATCTCGGCTGATTGAGACCCTGTATCCTGTATTATTTAGTCTATCTTCCCGTTTCGGGTTGTTGAAAAATATTTGTCCAATTACTCTGTTTCTCCTGAGGTGTTATATTTGTCCATTACTAAAAGTGAATAAACATTACCATTGTATTCTTTTCCTTTGTTATAAATTACTATGTAATCAGAATCTATAATTGAAGAGGAAAAGGTTATGTTGTGCAGAAAGTAAATGCACTTCTTAATCTTTATGCATTGTCAATTGAGGCTAACAATTATTAGACAAAAGAGAAAAAAAATAGTTTTCTTTCCCATGACAATTCTATGGCTAAGAATCAATCTGGAGTGAGATTCAGGTGATCCAATTGTCCATGGCCTTAAAAATTTTGCATGAAATGTGTCATCTGAATACTGAAACGCATTATTTCATTCAGGAAATGGAGGCAACCTACTCTGTGACTGTTGATGATGTGGAATGTGCATTCTTCGATCAGGTTGAAAAGCTTCGTAATTTTGGTTCTTATAACAAGGAAACTATTGCCCAACTGGTTTGGGCATTCTTTAGTTACTGGGCATATGGTCACAATTATGCAAATTCTGTCATATCTGTTCGAACGGGAAGCATAATCAGGTGAGCTACTATACAAGATCTCTTTACAAATGACTTTAACAATTATAATGGCCTTGAATGAGCATTACATTTGCATTAATCTAGGACAGTTGTAAGTGATTTCTTCAGCCTTGTTAGTTGTTACCACTCGATTCAGACATTTTTTACTGTGATGGCTATATATTTCTGGCAAATTGATGCATACTGTGTAATACATAAAATTCCCAATGATCTTTATCCAAAACATGACACATAATGAAATATAAATTGCTTCAATAGCAGCGTATTTTTCAGGGTGCAATTTTATTGATTAAAAGTTAGAACTTTATCTAAAGTCCTTGGTGTTGCTGACTGCTGACCAAATATGTACTTCAACTGTGCAGCAAGCAAGGAAAGGACTGGACAAGAAGGGTAGGCAACGATCGACACTTGATATGTATAGAAGATCCTTTTGAGACATCACATGACCTTGGTCGAGTGGTAGACAAATTCAGCATAAGAGTTCTCAGGGGTGAATTTGAACGTGCCGCTGAAATAATGCAGTACGATCCAAATCCTTGCGTGACGCTATTCGAGCCCTATGTTCCTCCTTGTTGAGACCACACATGTTCAATTGTAACTTTTTCAAGCATGCAGCGTGCCTCCTCTCGCCTCCATCTTCCACTTGTCGTGTGTGTTAAATGTTGATCGTATATGTATTTAGGCTTTTTATTTTATTTATGCTCTTTTGTAAAGAACGTAAGCCTTAATGGCTCACGGTATAACTCCAACCATTTCAAATGTCGAGGTTTATTTTTTTTTTTTGGCAATTATTTCGTACTTTTTTTTCTTTTCTTTTATTGGGCCTTCCGGTCTGCTGGGCCAGAGTGTAAAGAAGTTTGTTCGCTTAATCAGAACTGTAACCCAACCTGGGCTCTTCTAGTTATATTGGGCCCCCAGTTCACTTTTGTTACCAACCCAAAGTATAATGGGTCGGTCATAATCAAATATCAACCAAGAAGAGAGTAAATGTGCAAATAAGGATTTTAACTTTGCACATTTTTCTATTTAAGTATGTTAATTTTTACAGTTTCTAAATAAGGATGTCAACTTTTAATT